CGTGCTGTAGACTATTGTGTAGTGATGATTAAACAAAGCAAGGGAAAAGCACCACTCAAATCACTAATGCCGGGGGTTGCCTGGTTAAATCCAGCTATGGAAGGTCGGATGCTAAGGGTTACATAGGCAGTGCTATGTAGGGCACCGGGGGGCTTGGAGAAACTGTGATCAAACTCACATTCCTGGAACATCATCGGCAACTGGAACGTTTCTAAGGTGGGAACACACCGCAAAGTATGGGGGATTTCTGCCTCCCAATCACTCGGCTGTTAGTTGAGTAGCTGAGATCTAGGACTCTGTACAGGTCTGTAAGATTTGGGGTAAAGCTCACCATGTGGGTTAAAGCTCGCGCTGCTTCCCAGGAGCGTATTTTGCAAGGGGAAAATCAACATTAGTAACAACACTGATACCTCAAAGGAACGTTAGCTAATTTGCATAACAATCAGATTTCCTCACTTTCATTTGGAAGTTAAGGCATTATCAGGTGCAAGCCAGCACCAGTTAACACATCTTTAGGTAAAAACAGACCATTCACCACAAATTCCAAGTCCTGTTTAAAAAGTCAGAGTCTGCAGAAGGTTTTATTAATGTGGTACTTTGTCTCAACTTAGCTGGTGCTTCTTACCTCACTGCCTCCTTTGCACAGAGCCAGGGCCCGATTATGTTTCCATTAAACTTTTGACAGATTTACTTAATAACAGTCTCAGCACTTTTATTGAGCATGCAAGACTAACAAAACTTTGGCAATGCATAAGTGTAACACAGTGACAAGAAGAGAGAGCTTTTACAATTAAATCTTCTAATACTGGCTTCACAGTGTGGAAATTGTGCTACATCCACCAAAAGAGGGCCCAGTCTACTCAAATGTTTAAGTACTTCACCCCAGGAACAAACTCCTTTGCGTTTGGATTCAGATTACTCTTGACCTGAGGAAGGGAAAAACAGACATCGAGCTCAGTCATTATTTTCATCTTCCATTTTCAAGCTGAAGACAAATCAGAGGCAGAGTGCATCAGGAACAGTCAGGCATACATTTATCAGCAGTCTATAATGCCAAGAAAAGTCCACTCCCACGTGCTACTCCCTGAATTATCCATCCTTCCACAGCTCCACCTGAAGTTTCAGCCAGGGGAGGGCTCAGGGAATAAGCAGCAAACCACAGGCATGCACCCAACACAGCAGCTTCCCCTCATGCTGAAATAGCCTTTTCTCAAGCTGAGCTGTTAAAACGTGCCATGAGGTTTTTTTAATTCTGCTTATTTAAGCAAGAGGTGACTTGTTCCAGGAACTTCAGCCACTTCTGGGAATTTAATGTGTATGAACACTGTATTGATTTTTTACATGCCTGTGTCTGTGCCTACCCTGTCCTCCCCCTTGGCAAGCTGCTGCCGCTGCCCAGTGTCCTGCAGTTAGAGGTGGGCACCAGCACCTTCCAAATGAACTCTTTATCACAAAGAAATCGAGGATTAGGCTTTTCTGTTCTTAATTCAGTCTGAAACCGCTGCCTGCAGCTAATTTGGAAAAGTCGGGGTCTGCATCCAAGTCCCACGGCAATTTTGTGACAAGATGGTGTGGGTTTTGTACTCTGCATCAGGAACATGAGCTCCATGAGGGGAAATAAGTACACGCTGCCCTTTCCTTCGAGTTAAGCTCTAGACAGAGTCAGACAGCAAAAAGAAGGGAATATCACAGTTTGGCTGCTTTCCCCTTCCTTAGAATTTTTACAGCCTTTCCCACTGGTTCTCCCAGTTCCAAGCAGACCCTGGGCCAGGGCTCAGTGAGAGGTGCCCAGTGACCCTCAGTGTGCTCTGCTCATGGCCCTGCTTTCATAACCCCACACACACCCAGAGCCTCTTGAACTTGTGCCATGGACTGGGAAAGGCTCCACGTGGGTATGAAAAAACACCAAATAGGTCAGGTCCCATGAGGACACATCCCCTACCCACGCACCCCACCCCACAGCCAGGCAGCTTGAACAGGCTCAGCCCTCCTGTAAAGGAGTCTCTCTTGCCCTCAGCAGCTGTAAAAACCAGCCCTGGACAGAGACTCAAGCTTTAGAAATAGGAGAAACTGAATTTACCACCAGATCCTCCAGCGATGAGCTGTCACTGATAACAAGGTCATTGAACTGGTCCTGGATTTGATCCATTGTTTGTGGGAGATCACGGGCTGGAATAAACCACTCGTGCTCCTCCTCCTCTTCCAGCATCTCCTGGAAACAGCGCTCGATAAATTCTTCCTCCCACAACTCCTCTTCGATCTGTCCAACGAGAAGGAACTGCCTGAGCAACAAACCTTACTGACAGCCTGGGGGGGTTTATTCCCAGTGTGTGCCCCTCGGCTATCCAACAGGACCCCAGCCCAGCCCATCAGCTGGCATTTAACAGTGTAGGGAAGTGCTCTGTCCCAGGAACTTGGGAAAAGAGAATGGCACGAGAACAACCCCAGACCCAGCTGTTTTGTTTGCAGCTTATTATGAACTCAGGGAGAAGGAAAATGATGGTTCCAAGCAAAAATGTCAGTTGTACCAACGAGTCTGGACTGAACTTGCTGCAAGTATGAGGAGAGGAACTGTGCCAACACACACAGCCAGGCACACTCCCCAGGAAAGTGCCCTACAGGACTCCTGGGGGGAAAACAACCACTGCCTGTCTCTTGGAACAAGCAGCATCTCCTTGGCTGTGTGTTCACCCACTGTGGCTCTCCTTGGGAACCCCACCAGATCTCAGCAGCTGTCAGGAATGCAGCCCTGCCGTCCTGAGAGCAGGACAAACCAAGCCATGCAGAACTCACCAGTGCAGAGATTAAAGCAAAGTTTTGTTTGGTTGTTCAGTAAACAAGCTTTGGAGGGAGTTCATCCCACAAGTTTTCCATGTCCTGCATCACAGTGCTTTGCACTGGAAAGCAGGGAAATAGGAACTGGTGTGAACGACTTCCCAGACATAAGGGAATGGAAAAATGATTCAGGACAGATTTAGAAGTTCACCCAGTGGAAGCTCAAACAAGTTCTCCTATTTGTCTTTCACTCTGAAATCAAACACCTCCTCAAATTTCCTGGAGCAGAAATTCAGCTACACAAACACCAAACTGAAAATGCAAAGCCAGAGTTCAGAATTCCTGTGAAACCTATGTCCCTGTCTGTGGGGCAAACACACCATGAGCTCACCTGGTGCTCTGGGGAAGAGAGACTCATCACCATGTGCTCCCAGCCACTGCCCAGGCACTCCAAATCCCGCCTGGAATGCTGACTCAGTGCTTCTCCAAAGCAGCACTCCGGTCTGGACGGCACCTCCCATCCATCCCAGTGGGATGGCACTGCCTCTGTCCTGCGCTCCGTGGGCACACAGCCACAGGCACAGCCACAGGCTCGTGTTACAGAAGGGCTTGCCCAGCTCCTGGGCTCTGGTTACAGCCTGTACCCCTACAGGTGCCTCAATGGCAGCTCCTGAAGTACTAAATTACAGTCAGTTCCCCAAATGTCTGGACATTAGCACTGCCTGTTGATGTTTTCCAGCCCAAGTTTAATTTGCTCAGGCTCCCAGAGGGCTATGCCTGCAGAAGGTGTGACCAGGCTGCCTGCCTGAGACATCCCTTCTGTCACACTTCCACCTTTCCTCTGCTCTGACAACGCAGTCTGGGCCTGAAAAATCAGCTCCAGAGAACTACACAGCCCGTTTGCCAACTACAGCACAGTTCCCGGGGGGAAAAGCCACCAAACAGGAAACGGTGCACAAGAGGATAGAGTTCCTGGGAGCACACCTGACTTTAGATGAGCTCAGTGCCCCCCTGCAGAGCTGCTGCATGTGTGATGTTGGCAGCCCAGCCACGGCTGCTGGAGCACAGACACGGAGTGCACAGAGCATGTGGGAAGGGAAAGGGGTGTGAAGTGAGGTGGGCTGTTCCCAGGCTCCATGGGACAGGGAATGGTGGCCTGATGGCAGGTGGCAGAGGAAGGGAAGGCTCCCTCCACACCCCATGGAAAAGGCCAGCTCAAAGGCACTCGGGTACTAAACAGTGGGCAGGACTGTCACCCAGCAGCTCTGTCCTGCCACTCCCTGTGGGACAGCAGTGCTGCTCCCGAGGCACTGCACCTGGAATTACCAGCTCAGGACTATCCCAGCAGGCATGCCCACACACAGCCAGCCCTTCCCAACTGCCACACACATCTGTCAACACTTCTCTTCCCCCCTCCCTCCTGGAGAAGTACGGAATTAATGGACGCCTCAGAACACGCTGTACCTCCTGTATTTTCCACCAAGACTACAGAAAATCAGTATTTATTGCCAGAGAGGCTTGTCTGTTCCCCAGGGTGACTGTCAGAGCTGATCTAAGCCCTCCTCCCCCAAGGACTGCCAGTCTCCTAGGCCAGCTGCCAGGCCCTGGCACTGCCCCCTCAGCCAGGCAGGGAGCAGGCAGGTGACAGGCCGTGGAGCAGGGAGGACTTGCCTGCCTGTTGAACTCCTCCTCGTTCTCCATCCACATGTACTCGGCGAAGGGGTTGTCGTCCTCGTGGGAGTGCCCGTTGATGATCACGTCCTCGCTGATGATGCTGGGGCTGGTGCTGCTGCGACTCGGGTCCTTCATGGCTGCGACCCCGATCCCAAACCTGCAACTGAGGGGCACAGAGAGTCAGCACGGGCAGGCTCCTCAGCCCTGCACCAGCCCAGCCCAGGGAAGCGAGGCTGCACCTGCACGTGGAGGCTGCAGCAGCTTCACCCCCACTGCAGCACAGCTCTGAGACCACAGGTATCCCCGACACCATTCCCATTGTGTGCACAGTCCACTGACGAATTAATTTTCCAAATTAAACCTCGCCAAGGCCAATGAAAAGTGACAGGAAAAAACAGGAAGCACATGGACTTGGCAGTAGGAAAACGTTTAAGGCAATATTCCAAACGAGAATTTGTTTTCCAAAGCACTAAGTGTCGTGTGTGATGGCACAAGCCAAGTTTCACTGCTGGGAAACCTCACAGGGAAAGAAACAACCAGGCACTGACCCCGTGCAGGGCCAAGTTCTCAGAGCTGCTCTGGAAGACAAAGGCACTGCCTGGGGAGCTCCAGGTGAAGACATCAGGAGGCACTGAAAAGAGTTCCTGCCTCTCCTCTCACTTCCCACCACAGACTGAGCCTGGAGAGCTCTCGGCATGTCCTGGATATGTGATAGGCCTGAGCTCCAGGAACAAAGGTACAATTGGCAAGCAAGGTCTTTTCCACTTAGTGAGGGTCCAGAGCAGGATAAATCCGAAATTTGGCCTGAATCCCTGTCCCAGGAACAGCTTGAGCTGCTCCATCAGGCCACAAGCTGGAGCTCATCCCCCTGAGCTGAGAGCCCCAGGGCTGCTCTCACAAATCCTGGTGTGTTCTGAGGTGAGACAACACTGCTGCCCTTCCTGTACCTGCTCCAGTACAGACATCAATGCTGCAAAAGCTGAGTATTTTTTGGATACTGATCCTCCTAGTATTAATTTTTTTAAAAACAGTATACGAAGTGAGGCAAGGAGCTCAAAAAAACCACCCAAATTTCAATGTTTTTCTTGTGCTGAAACTCGCAGTGAAACGATGCAGCAGAGAGGGAAAATATTTTTATTTTATTCTCAAAACACCATTTTAGCTCCTTGTCTGCATATCAAAGAGTGACTAATGCAGAGAAGAGGGTGTCAAATTACAGCCTCGTTTTTTAATTACAGTACAAGGGCTTATCATGTAACACCTCGCATTTTCTCTTTGGATTCCAGTCAGTCCTGTTATCTTGGGAATTAATGCAAGTTTGGGGTCAAAATTCTTGATAATACCAGGTCAAAAACCCGCCACATCCAAAGGACCCATTAAGGAATGCAGGGAGGAGGAGGAACCCGCCTGGGTTCCTGCTCTATTCCAGATTTTTAAATCAAAGGCAACCCCCAGCACGGAAGTCACTGCAGCTCCCTGGGAAGTGCCACAAATGGGAGCAGATCCTGGGTATTCCAGCAAGGGAAAACGGGTTCTTTTTGATGTTCTTTCAAAACAAACTTGCTAAGGATTACTGGCAGCGTTTAACATAAAACAGGAAAGGACAGTGCATTTAACAGCCCAATTCAAGCCTGAAATTGCTTTAAGCCACTTCAGCTGTTCCCAGGCCAACACGGGGGATGGAGTGCAGGAAATACAGCCTAAAAAGGTTAATTTCTTTTTTTTTTCTCGTTTTTACTGGCAGGTGTTTCCACCTTTCCCTTTGTGGAGCTCATCTGATATTACTATTCCCTTAAGGTAAGTGCCTCAGCAGGGTGAGGAACTCAGGCAGCTCCTGCACAGAGGTGACTGCACCCAGACAAGTCAGAAAGGTAAAAATAATTAAAAAAAAAAATAAAAGCAACCCAAAACCAGCAAACCAACCCTACTTGTTTGTGTAAAAGCTTGGAAGGTTCATTTGTTGAATCATGGGCTGGTTTTGCCATTCCTGCAGCGTTCCCACAGAACATAAGCTCCGGCTTCAGGAGGGAGGTCCAGCTTTGTCCATCACTGCCCCAGGACTATGGGCATGAGGAGGTTCCAGCAGAACCCCAGCCCCAACCTCAATATCTGATTTTTTCCTGATGAATCCCCACACCCTCTCATGTTTTTCCCACAGGAAAATATCCCAACAAACACTCATCCTGCAGGAACGGCAAGGAATCCCCAGGCCAGTCCTTCACAACACTCTTATTTCATTTTCTGCAGCTTCCAATAAAACCAATGAATCTTCCCATTTCTACATTTTAAGACACGAACCAGCTGCTTTCTGTGATCACGTGTGAGGACAAGATCAGTCCTGTTTCCCTGGGCTTGGATACAACACTTCAGTCAGGAGCTGCAGGGAATTCTGAGGGGGAAGAGCCAAATGCCACTTCAGTCTTGCAAAAAGTCCCAGTCTAGGCAGGCTGCAGCAGAAAACAAACCCAGTGCCAGGTTACACTGCTGGGAACAAAAATAACACCTTTTCCATCTGGGAGTAGGTGGGAAGCAGAGGAGCTCAAAGCTCCTTATACTGGAAATGTAAGGCTGGCAGTGCTGAGGAACAGAAAACAGGGAGAATTCTCCCACAGGGACACCCTGGGAGGTTCTGACCCAAATCACTCCAGCACTTTGGTGGGGAGTGGGAGTGAGGCAGGAAAAACACTCCAAGTGCAGAAGGAAAGGCACGGGGAAAAAAAAAAAAAAAAGATTTTTATCTTAGGAATTAAATGAGAAATTACAAATCCTCTAACAACAGGGCTTTCAGTGAACTGTTTCCTGCATGGAGGGTGCAGCTCGTTGCTCCACAACATCCCTAATTTACTGGTTTCCCTGAATTCTGCTGCAGTTACAGCCACGAAGAGCCCTGGCCCGACCATCATTAAAATTCAGGGCTTTGTGACTGAAGATTCTGCATTTACAACCCAGTCACGAAAGCAGATTATCCACCGCCCACTCCGGAGGTGAGGTCAGGCCTGAACCCGCACAGCGCCCCGGCCTCACTTGCCAGGGAAAAAACGAGGAAAACCTGGAGTAAAAAATTAAGATATTTGTGTCAAGCACCCAAGAGCAACACGTGAGGGGTGTAGGGGCCGCTGAAGATTAAAGAAAGGCGTTTTAGAGCCGCTACGAGTTGTTTATCGGGCGGTGATTCCTCCGCAACCAGCAGCGCGGCCGAGCCCCCCTTATCAGTTTAGATTAGCTCAGATATCGACGGAGCTCATTAAACCCGTCAAAGGGGCTCATCTCTTAACCGATTCACGCGAGGCGTGGGTTTATATCCAATATCAAGGCCTCCGAGCGCTGCGCTGGTTTCATGGCCCAGCGAGGCGGTGTCTGTGGGAGCAGCGTCCTGTGAGGGTGTCGGGCCCCCTCACGGGGCCGCTGTCTCGGGCCCGAGGCCGCCCCCGCTTTGTCGCGGCCCCCGCAGGCCCCGGATGGCGCCGCAGACAATACCGAGGGGCGGCCCCGCCGCGGGGGGTGGAGGCCGCGGCCCGGCGGCAGCGCCGCCTCAGGGGAGGGGGCGGCGCCCTTCGCCGTCCGCCCCCCCAGGCGGTCGGGGCCGCCCCCCGCGCTCACCTGCGGTGTCAGAGGAGCCGCCGCGCTCCGCCGTGTCCCGCCCGGCCGCACCGGCCCCACCGGCCCCGCTCGGCTCCGCGCTCGGCCCGGCCCGCTCCGCCACACACCGCGGCACGCGCGTCACTTCCGCCAACGCCGGCGCGCGCAGGCCACGCCCCCACCCCTCCCCGGCGCGCGCCCGTGAGGGGTGTGAGGATGAGGGGCGGCGCGGGGCATGCCGGGACGCGTAGTCTTTTTGGCGCCTCCCGCCGCGGGGCGTGCCGGGAGTTGTAGTCCCGCGCGCCGCTCCTAGCGGCCATTTCGCGCAGCGCGCGGGGCACGCCGGGAGCAGCAGTCCGGAGGGGCGGCCGCCATCTTGTGGCGCCGGCAGTCGGGGGGTTCCACAACATCCCTGGTGCTCAGAGAGCGGCCCCCTCAGTGCCTCTGAGTGGGGGTCCACAGCACCCCCGTGCTCACTGAAGGATCCCCGAGCATCCCTGGTGCTCACTGAGGGGTCCATAAACACCCCCCGGTTTCTGGGACCCACGCTGCATGCCCAGGCTACAACCCCATTTACCAGAAGTGCTGAAAAAGCCATTTTTAGTCTCTCCTTGCCTCAGGACAAGGTGGAGATGCCTCTCGTGCCCACCCCTGCCCACCGTGCGCTGCGAGGCTCGGGTGCTTCCAGGATGAGCTTCAGAACCTCCCTGAGGCAAAGAAGCCACACACGGAGTCAAAGGCCCTTTGATGGATCGAAATTAGCAAGGAATAGAACCTGGAGCCATAACCCTCAGGACACCTGCCCCACCTATAACATGGGAAACGTGGCACAAAAACATCTCGAGGTGCAACTGCAAAGCCCAAAGCGTGTGTTATGGACAGGCATCAGAGTCCCTGCAATGTGTTAGTGGTTAAGGGGTTACCAGATGAGAGCAGCTGTTTAGGCTCAGCTCTAGTCAGTGAGCTCGGTCAAACTCTTAGAAAGGCTCCTCTGCCATCGAACCCACCCCTTTAGGCTGCCTGGGAATCAGGCAGGACCATCTGAGGATAACAATCTCATTAGCATCCCTCTGCTCAGCCCTTTACTTCCTTCATCCTAAATTTTAGTAAGGGACAACTAAAGCTACAGGATTTTGGGGGGAGCAATTCTCCCTTGAATAATGTGTTTACACTGATTTTATTGGTCACCAGCTTGTTCCCAGGGCCTAAGGGCTTTCTCTATGGCCTGTCACCCACTTCCTGCAAAAACACCCCTGCAAGGATCATCGGTAAAAACATCAGTACCATGCTCTTCCTCCTCTTACTTTCATAACAACTTCCAACTCTACAAATCCAGAAGATGTGATTTTTCTCATCTCTAACAGGGGCTTTTTCTTCTACTGATTTCCCCAGCTAAGAGGACGCTGTAGGGTTGCTCCTGCTGGAATTCAGGGATGGAAGGTGGCCGGTAAATCACAGAGCCCAACATTTCATGCACGTGGATTTTCCTCAACCCTTCACAGGGCAGATAGTTATTTCAAAGAATAAGCAGCCCATAGCACCAACACGCATGTCTGGCATCTGCCCTCAAGACCAAGTTCTTCTGAAACCTTTTCTTCAGGAATTAGGGTAAGGGAAGTTTTCAAAATAATTAACTGCTACCCTCAGAGAGAAGGAAGGGACTGCTCTGCAGCCAAGGCCTGGTCTGGCCGAGGGACTCAGCAGCCTCTTGGTGACAGATGAGTGACAAATGCCACCAGAAGTGGCCTTGTGACTTAGAACTTGTGCTTTCTTTCACCTGCAGCGTAGCTGTGAGGTTATGTCACTGCCTGACACTTAATCCATTTCATACAAACCCAAACAAAATCTTGCATACTAATGAGCGTACAGGGCAGTAACTTATCTCTGTACAAGTGCAAGAATGAGTCACTGCATGGCAAGATTCTATTATCTGGATGTGCTATTTAAGTAAAATCTGCACCAGGAGCTGCTTGTTAGCACCTCACCCCTCCACAGAGGCCCCAGAGAAACTGCTGCCACTGCAGCAGGAGATGGCTGGAGTTATATTAAGGGATTGCACCCTCTTTGTTAGGGGGATGCAACAGAAAGTCACAGCTGGGAACACAAGTTATCAAGGCTTGACTTCCACAAAACACACAACTTGGGTCAGCTTAACTACAGGAACTTCATCCAGACTCAGCCTCCTGCATCCAAAGCCCTTCCAAGTCCCAAATCCTCACTGGTGGAGGCTCAGGCTGGAAGAACTGGCCCCAGCCAGTTTTATCCATGGGAATGGGGGGAATGTGGCTCGAACTTCAGCCTTGATGAAAACACCCCAAAACTCCAGAAATAAAACTGTCAGAAGAATATACTTACCAGGGTTTTAACAAGTGATATTTTAATTTGTTGGGAAAGGCAAGAGGGTTTGGGGGAGAGAAAGAAAAGTTCTGCAGGAAGCTCTGAATCACAGGTGTTAAAACATGCACATTTTCAAGAGCTGGAGTTTCAGTGTGGTGACATGACACAGATCAAGAGTTCAGCAGACACTGGTTAACATGCCAAACATCTATAACGAACCACTGTGGCCTAGCTTTGTTTATTGGGAATCACTTTAGTAACCTGAAGTCACAAATAAGCAGTAAATAACAAAAACTACAGATAAACACAGGTTACACATGCAAATTCCTGTTCACATATCACATGTGCAGGTACATTAAGAGCACAGTTCTAAAGAGTCTTGACAAAACCAGATTTTAACAAAAGACGGTGTTAAAATGCGGGTATGAAAAATTCCACATGGAGAATATAAAGATACTTTTGTCCACTTCGGGACTCCAATGCTGCTTTTGAGATACCAGGGATGGATAACAGCAACAAGATTCAAGTAAAAGCAGGAAGAGCTCAAGGAAGTAATACTGGTTGGAGAGAATGGGCATTTACTTCTCACTAAAAATACACAGAATAGCTGAATAGGAAAGTCTAGCAAGAGCTTAGAAAAAAAAGTCACAAAGTTGTAAAGCTGGCTAATCACTAATTTTCCTATTTGCTATAGGTAACAGCAGTGACATTAAAAGAAACTGCAATTCAACATTTAAAAATGCAACTTACATTTAAAGACTTTTCCAAAGTGAAATGCAATGACAGCCTTACACTCAAAATTAAACAGTTGCTAGGCTCAGACCAAAATATGGAATGTTCTAGATAAAATAAAAATACAGTGTTAGTTTTCATTTTTTATTCAGAATGGAATTGAAAGACAATTTCTTAAGCTTGAAAGTAGTAAATCTCATTTGAACAAGGTTTTCTCATAGATGAGCTTTCCACGAGGGTGCAGGATTTTTTTTTTCTGTATTAGCTTGAAGTGTCAAAACAAAAACTTGTTGCCATTCTCACATTAAGAACAAATTGTTGTCATTAACTTAACTGCATAATGCTTTTTGCTACAACATTTAACACATGAACAGACCTATAATGCCTACTGTATCTCACTAAAACAAAAAAGAATACAGTATTTCCATCTACTACTTGTACTGCTTTTAAAAAAGATTAACATTAAAAACAAAGCCACGTTTTCCTTACATCCTTCCTTCTTTTTAAGCTTCTTTCTTTTGCCTGTAGTCTTCTGCCATTTTATCCAGAATTTTCTGTTAAGAGAAATTATATTTGGGATATATTTAGAGAGTTTTTCACAGTGACAACATCAAGAACAAACATAAACCCAATTTACAAGTTTAACATCTGTGAACATCAATTGCAAAGGTCACAGCTAACAAGGCTGACACTTCTCTCTACCCTGAAGTGGAGTTTGAGCTCCTCTTGGCAAGCCAAGGGAATTCCTTTCTATTCTGTCATGGACTTGTGACAGCCACTGTGCCACTTACCTGGGTGGAATCTGCCACCTACAGAGGCAGGGACAACACCTCCCCCTCCCTGGAGAAGGGCTGTTTTGGAAGTTTGAGGAATTTGTTACCCCTTGGATGACATTTGGTAGCAACATCAATTCACCTATTAATGTTTTCCTGCTCGCCCAGGGAAGGAGACTCCCAGCTCCAGAAGTGCCACTGGGAGACAGAAGCTGCATTTCCCCCCTTCCCTCCCCAGTTCCAAACCCCACCAAGGTCACACAGTCACTCACAACTTGCTAGTCATTTGTGCCATGGAGAAAGCAAAGCAAATCACGCTTCATTCAAGCAACAAAGGTAATAAATTGGCTTTATCCCCCCTCCCCTTTTTACATCAAGCTTTAATGTCCCATAATCTGGTACCTCAATGGAAAAAAAAAAAAAGAAAAAAAACACTATGGTGATGGATGAGGTGGGATTTCTTTCTACAAGACCCTGCATGGGACCTGATTATCTGATCTACTCCTTGATCATGTTGTTTGCTTTTCCGTGCCATCTGCCTTCCTGGGCCCTGTATTTATTTAGGGTTGCCTGTTATTGCAAGGAGAAGGCAAATGTTTGTGGAGTCTGAGTTGCCACCTCTTCCTTTTCTGTGGAGTCCTTGGGGTTTGCTCTCAGCTCAGGGATGGACTGCTATAAATCCATCAGCTCTGCAGGACTATCAGAATTTGGTTTAGCACTGCCCTTTCCTGGAGGTGATATTTAAAGCAGCTCACAGTAGGAGGATACAGCAGCAGCATTGTCATTTATGCCATGCAATCATGTGATACCTCATCCAGTAACAGCATTGAAAAAGTGCTCACAAAATCAGAAGTTGCAAATGTTTGGGGGTTTTAAACACATAAAAACTTCATCTTAAGCTTTGTTGATTGCTTATAAACAATCTTGAAGGGACAACTGGAAGCGATCTGAGCCATCTGTATTTATTCTGCAATGCTATTTCTAAGCCTGGCCTTAACTCCAACTGGAATTCCCTCTTTAATCCAAATTTACAGGAAAAAAATGCTGAAGCCCAACTCTAAGCTGTGTATTCTGCATATTATTTTCACAAGATGAACTTTTGAGAGGTCTACCTGGAGTTAAAAGATAGAGAATAAGCCAATTTCCACTGCCTGGAAGGTATTTTTTGTCCTCAGTCCGGTCTCGTTGAATTCTATTCCCCAGAAAGAATCACGCCAGTTAAAATGAACAAGTTTTTGCCTTACCTTCAACTTTTGATAATGAGGAAGGCTGCTGCAAT